ACACCACGGGTAGATCGTGACAGGACGTCACACACCACGGGTAGATCATGATGTGAGATCTTCAACAAGTGGAAGATCATGATCGGACGTCATACACCACGGGTGGGTCATGATCGGACATCATACATCACGGGTAGAGCGTGACAGGACGTCACACACCACGGGTAGAGCGTGACAGGACGTCATACACCACGGGTAGATCGTGACAGGACGTCATACACCACGGTTAGATCGTGACAGGACGTCATACACCACGGTTAGATCGTGACAGGACGTCACACACCACGGTTAGATCGTGACAGGACGTCATACACCACGGGTAGATCATGATGTGAGATCTTCAACAAGTGGAAGATCATGATAGGACGTCATAAACTACGGTTAGATCATGATTGTAGACCATAAATCAGTTGAAGATCGTGGTCCGAGATTATGGTGAACCAGACGCTGACAAAAGATCACGATTCCAGATATAAAAAAAAAGATCATAAACCAATTGGAGCATTGTCAGAAAACACTAATCAGCGGATGAATCATCAGAACACTTGGCAAGTCGGTCCTTCACACACTGGGAGCAGTGCGGTAACTGATGAGTGGGTAAAGCGTTCGTCACGCCAAAGACCCGGGTTCGATTCCCCACATGGGTACAATGTGTGAGCCCATTTCTGGTGTCCCCCGCCGTGATATTGCTGGAAATTGTTAACAGCGGCGTAAAACTATATTCACTTACTCACTTCACACACTAAAGGTTCTTGGTGCATGTAAATGTAAACTAACGACATACAAAGAACTATAGAACGTACACTGAAACCCTCAGCTAATATTTATACGAAACCAATATCATTGATGCAAACAAATGTTTATCAGGTAGAATAATGACAAGCGCGTCGTTGGGAACAGGCTGAAAATTCTTTTTTGATTGAACCTAATAAATGCATTAAATTCTGTTTATCAGTTCAACATGCTTGGTTAAATAAAAGGAAAATCATAGAACGGTCAGCCATTCTGGTCTGAGGTAAGCTTGTGTCATCATCGCTATATAATGACAGAGGTGATCTGGCTTGAGCAAGAGAGTGAGTGAGTTGGGTTTATCGCCGCTTTTAACAGTATTCCAGTTAAATCGCGTCGTGGTAGCTTAATGTGGGAGGAAAGCCCGAAGTGATGCAGGTCTCAGACGTTACCACATCGGTGAAACCCACGAGCACGGGTATGGTGCTGACAAACCTAGAAACATAATCCGGGCGAACCGGGATTAGAACCCACAATCATAGGTTTCTGGCGTACCCAAGGGACGCAACTCTGCACAGCGAATCGCGGCGCCTTAGACGACTGGGCCACCCGTGCCCCCGACTGGAGCAAGAAAAAACACAAATTTTCATAGGAAAAGGTTACTTAGGGCAGTATGTTTCACGCTTTCATCCCCATGGGGAATACGGGATAGAGTACGTTCCTTTAGCTATTGGCTCTAATTGTTGCAAGGTGAGGTGAAACGGGGTTTAACGTCGTGTTCACGATTGATACATTTATATAGCGATTGTATAGTGTTGGCCCACTGAGGTATCACGCCGCAGTCTAACATGAATACCCCACTCAAACACAGTTTACCGACTCCGAGCCGACAAGTCCTTGTTTTTGCCCCTTAACGCCGAGTGCCAGACAGGGTAACAACAAGTACCGTTATGGTATGACGCGGCCGGGGATCGAACCCCCGACCTTCCGCTCTCCGGGCGGACGTTCTGCCACTAGACCACGGAGGCGGTCTTATTGTTGTCACATCGGACTGAAATTGAACAGGTGGCTATGCTCGATGGCATTGCATGTCGATTTGGATGGTTGATCAGGCTTTCAGTAACAGACTTGTTTTATCCAGACACGATTATTTACAAGTCCCTGTTTTCTTACGTGGATATTAGTGTTTGCGCCGTTAAACAACATTCACTCACTCTTAGACCCGTGAAGATCTGGGGTAGAATAGGTCTTCAGCAACCCATGCTTGCCGTAAAAGGAAAGAAACACGCCTGCACATTTGTTATATATGTACAACTGCTATTTACATGTATTTTCCGTGAGCAGACGCAATAATCATAATATTCTACCCAGAAGAATAAGGGAATTGATGAAATGATTGGACCCGTGAAGATCCGGGGTAGAATAGGTCTTCAGCAACCCATGCTTGTCGTAAAAGGCGACTAACGGGATCGGGTGGTCAGGCTCGCTGACTTGGTTGATGCATGTCATCGATTCCAATTGCGTGAAGCGATGCTCATGATGTCAATCTCTGGATTGTTTGGTCCAGACTCGATTATTTACAGACCGCCGTCATATAGCTGGAATATTGCTGAGTGTGGCGTTAAACAACAAACAAACAAACAAACAAACAAACACTCACTCTTATGCGTCTTTTTTCCCCGCGACATAACGGCTGGGGAAAGTGGGAAATACGTTGGACTTTAAATGGGAAATAGATACAGGATGTTCCATATGACAACAAACACTTAACGCCTAACCTGTCACTATGACAAATTTCACGGACGGGAACATCAAGAATTGGATTCACACGTTATACGCAGGAAATCGGACCTTCGAATTCTTAACGGGAGGGACATTTCATGTTCTGGATCAGCACAGATATATATAGTCCAATTGTTTACCTATACAGTCAACTACGGTTATAACGAACACGCTTATAACGAACTGACGGATATAACGAACTATGGGTCCTGTCTTTTTGCTGTATATATATTCCGTACATTTGCTTATAACGAACTACGGTTATAACGAATTAAATAAGTGGTCCCTTTGAGTTCGTATAATCGTTTACTGTATTTATCTGTAATTACTTGTAAATCAAATATTTACAAGGTAACACTATTTGCTGATTTTTCTTCTATTTGTTCATACCTGTCTGTCTACATTTACATATTTGTGTATATATGTATAATCCATACAATAAAGTGATTGATGATCAATCAACCAAGTACCGAGTCTGGCACTCGTTCAATACATGATCGCCTCATACGACCAGCATAGGTTGCTGGGGACCAAATTCGAACCCGGAATCCACACGAGGCTAATACACAGGGGAAACATACTAATCATCCATGCTGAAAAACCTCCTTTAAATCTGACCCAAAAATGCCAGGAAAATTCGCGGTAAGGAAAGTATTGTGTTGCTATTTAGATAGCTATATATATATAGTGTATGTGTGCTAGAGCATCGCGCAGTAGTTGTGATATGAAAATCATGTTATTCGAGTGCTCTATAGATGGCTAAATCGGGATAAAATTTTAATTTCCGTGTAATTACATTATACTTTCATGACAACATTCTTATTGTGTACGTGTGTGTATGTATTTGTGTGTAATTATATGTACGTTTGTATGTACGTGTGTGTATGTATTTGTGTGTAATTATATGTACGTGTGTATGTACGTGTGTGTATGTATTTTTGTGTAATTATATGTACGTGTCTATGTATTTTTGTGTAATTATATGTACGTGTGTATGTACGTGTGTGTATGTATTTTTGTGTAATTATATGTACGTGTGTATGAACGTGTGTGTATGTATTTTTGTGTAATTATTTGTACGTGTGTGTATGTATTTTTGTGTAATTATATGTACGTATGTATGTACGTGTGTGTATGTATTTTTGTGTAATTATATGTACGTGTGTATGTATTTTTGTGTAATTATATGTACGTGTGTATGTACGTGTGTGTATGTATTTTTGTGTAATTATGTGTACGTGTGTATGTACGTGTGTGTATGTATTTTTGTGTAATTATATGTACGTGTGTATGTATTTTTGTGTAATTATATGTACGTGTGTATGTACGTGTGTGTATGTATTTTTGTGTAATTATATGCACGTGTGTATGTACGTGTGTGTATGTATTTTTGTGTAATTATGTGTACGTGTGTGTATGTATTTTTGTGTAATTATATGTACGTATGTATGTACGTGTGTGTATGTATTTTTGTGTAATTATATGTACGTGTGTATGTATTTTTGTGTAATTATATGTACGTGTGTATGTACGTGTGTGTATGTATTTTTGTGTAATTATGTGTACGTGTGTATGTACGTGTGTGTGTGTATTTTTGTGTAATTATGTGTACGTGTGTGTATGCATTTTTGTTTAATTATATGTACGTGTGTATGTACGTGTGTGTATGTATTTTTGTGTAATTATGTGTACGTGTGTATGTACGTGTGTGTGTGTATTTTTGTGTAATTATATGTACGTGTGTATGTATTTTTGTGTAATTATATGTACGTGTGTATGTACGTGTGTGTATGTATTTTTGTGTAATTATATGTACGTGTGTATGAACGTGTGTGTATGTATTTTTGTGTAATTATTTGTACGTGTGTGTATGTATTTTTTGTGTAATTATCTGTACGTGTGAATATGTATTTTTTGTGTAATTACGTGCGTGGAAGCGTGTATTAACAGCTTCACACCGCCTACGTGGTCTAGTGGTAGAGCGTCCGCCCGAAGAGTGGAGTGTCCGGGGTTCGATCCCCGGCCGCGTCACACAAAAAGACGTTATAAGATGGTTCATCTTGTCACCCTGTCTGGCGCTCGGCATTAAGGGTCTAAAACAAGGACTGGTCGGCTCGGAGTCAGTATACTGTGTCTGAGTGGGGTATTCATGTTAAACTGCGGCATGGTATCTCAGTGGGCTAGCACTATAAATCTGCATCAGTCACACGTCACACACACGTACATGCACGTCGCTATATAAGTGCACTATAATCTTAGACGCCACGTTAAACTCAATTTCACCTCACCTATCAACAGGTTCCTCGGTAACGCGTATCAGTAGCACTGCACTCTCGCAATGTTTCCTTTTCAGCAAACGGAAGCATTTAGTCATGAGAAGTTTTACGCTATGTAGCTCTGTCCCGTTATTGTTAGGACTTTCTACTTAATTCATAGATAAACGGCAAAGTGTATGTACTACAAAATATGACCAAGAAAGGTTACTGTACCTCGTAAAGTGAGTGAGTGAGCGACCAAGCCTGAGCCTCTCAACTCGATCCCGTTAGTCCCCGACCGCACGAATCAATGCTCACTTGTTTGCAGGACACATCTGTATAACTTGCATATTGTTGAGTGCAGCTTTAAACAACGAACTTGAGAGAAACACTTCAGGATGAAGTGTCAACAATTGATTGTCTAAATATTACATCCTTTTTGACAAAATACAAGCATGTATACACACACAGAGACACGGGGCGGTCGGGTAGCCTTGTGGTTAAAGCGTTCGCTCGTCACGCCGAAGACCCGGGTTCGATTCCCGACATGGGTACAATGTGTGAAGCCCATTTCTGGTGTCCCCCGCCCTGATATTGCTGGAATATTGCTAAAAGCGGCGTAAAACCATACTCACTCACTCACAGAGACACACATGACCCTACTCTAACCAGACACACGGGCAAGTTTTTTTCAGGGTTCGTCTGACACATATTTATTCAGTTGTGGCTTGATATAACAAGTTTATGAACAAGAATTCATGTGTACGTTTAATGTGTACAATGTAATATTGTTATGTGTTTATCAAGTGACGCCATGGTTAAAACCAGGAAGCTGTCAACATTGTTTGTTAAATCAATATTAAACAGCAATAAAACATCACGTCGTGTTTACATTCAAAGCTTTCGTTGTGATAATCCATAGCCATGATACAACAGTAACAGGTCATTTTATTGTTCAGCATTGTACACCAATATCCAACACGACAATCTATATTCATCGATCCATTGGGACATTTGTCTCTAGGTGAGGTGAGGTGAAATTGGGTTTAACGTCGCGTCCAAGATTAATGCACTTATATATCGACGTGCATGCATGTGTTTGTATCTCTGTGTGTGGCTGTTTGTACTAGTCCTGACTGATGCCGATTTATAGTGCTAGCACACTGAAATACCATGCCACAGTTTAACATAAATACCCCACTCAGACACAGTATACTGACTCCGAGCCGACCAGTCCTTGTTTTAGACCCTTAATGCCGAGCGCCAGACAGGGTAACAACAAGTACCATCTTTTAACGTCTTTTGGTATGACGCGGCCGGGGATCGAACCCCGGACCTTCCGTTCTCCGGGCGGTCGCTCTACCACTAGTCCACGGAGGCTGTCCATTTGTCACTAAATGTGCTGAACATAGATATATCCTAACGGAAAAAAGTAACTGTGCTTCACATAAAGTTTAATAATAATTTATTTCGAAATAAAACAATGCATCTTTCAATACATATTCATGAAGATATTTCCTCGACTTTAAGGTCGTGATTCACAATTTGCACGTGCATGTTTAAGGCCCGGTGCACAATTTGGATGTATCGTGTTTGTTGTGAGAATGATACACAAATGGACTTTTGGTTGTGAAAAGCACACAATGGTTGTTTAGCTACCTTATGTCCATAAAAACTTATTTATTCAACTGTAAAAATGCTAAGCAATGCCAGGGCTTGCTGAAACTCAATAACGACGGGACGTGGCTATGCTGCCAACAGGACTGGCGTAAAATGAATTCGAAGTTGCCGGACAGGGCAGCAATAATGACTTGCCATGGGCAGGTCGTCCATGTGTGGCGTGACGTCAAAAAAACAGCCATATTCGGTTGGTGCAAGTATGGAACCGTTACCAAAGTGCCCCCTCCCCCTAGACAGCTCGGACCTGGTTTTAGACTAATCAATGGTAAAAGTTACGAAATCAGATGAGGGAGCACAACATCCCCGACACTAAAGTCCGGTCGTGCAGTGGTCTACAGGCGTCCAGGAGAACGTTTTAGCGACGCTTGCGTTACCCAACGTCGTCATTTTGGGGGTGGAAGTATAATGGTATGGGGTGGCATCACAACTCATGGGAGAACTGAACTCCCACATTCAGCACTGGTTCTCCAGATTTTCCCGCAATAGAACATGTCCGGGACGAGATTGGTTTTGTCAATATATTTGTTGCTGCCAAATAATTATCAGACGAATCACCAATTATTATGTTGTTTTAACATATAGGAAGCACACTATATTTCCGCTGGTGTAGATTCATCTCTAATTTTAAAGTTTCAGGATACAGTTAACTACGGTTATAACGAACTCAAACGGACCACTAATTTTAATTCGTTATAACCGTAGTTCGTTATAAGCAAATGTACGGAATATATAAAGCAATAAGACAGGCCCCAAAAAATAATTCGTTATATCCGTCAGTTCGTTATAAGCGTGTTCATTATAACCGTAGTTTACTGTAATTTGTTAAACATAAAAGCAAAAATACCCTCAGAAGTTTACACAGATAGATATTCTTTATTTGATAATAATATGAAGTTACAACATATTATATGTAGCCATAACACCACATGAAGAAGCTCAATAGCAGTGGATATCAACAGTAGATATATATAACAGTAACTTTCTTTATGTTCAACACAGAGCCCGGACCATCTGCTGCCATACATGGGCATCTAAATTGCTTTCACAGTGATCAGGTTTTTCCCCAAGCAACTGAGGATAATGTAATCTTCAGCTTCCCATAGTTCTACATACACCGCAGCACAAGTCCATCACAAATTCAAATAAAAAAGTCTCTTTGGAGGCGGTTCATTTGCTATGACATAAAAACATGCTTAACGATATCATTGGCAAATGTGTCACATGAACATGCTTTAAAGTGAATAGAGGCTGATCCTTTGCGAACACGCCTACAATGTCCACTCGTCACACCGATGACCCGGGTTCGATTCCCGACATGGGTACATTTCTGGTGTCCCCCGCCGTGATATGGCTGGAATATTGCTAAAAGTGGCGTAAAAAAATATTCACTCACTCACTACAATGTCCACAAGGCTATCTGGATGTAATATCGCAAGTTCCAATAGCCTCTGTGCACTGCCGGCTATGATGGATACGGATCTGGAAAGTGATAATCTGGTCGGCGGTTCTCTTTCTATTCCTTATGTTTCATGATTAATTAATTAATTAAATTACGCATTTATATAGCGCTACTTATCCAGACATACTGCCTGCTCAAGAGCGCTCAGCCGTATGCTCTTTTGAAGAAGATGGTCTTGAGTTCTGATCTAAAGGTGTTGACATCTTCAGATCCCCTGACATCAATGGGCAGTGCATTCCATAGAGTTGCACTTGCTTTTCGGAAGGTTCTGTCGCCATATGTTGTTCTGCTGGTTGGTGGAACAGCAAGCTGTAGTTTGTTTGCAGATCTCAGTGTTCGGCCAGGTTGGTAAAGGGCAGTGAGTTCCTGGAGGTATACTGGGGATAACCCACGGATCGATTTGTAGACAAACATGATCAGCTTGAACACGATCCTGAGTCTCACAGGTAGCCAGTGCAGCTCTTTCAGGACGGGTGTAATGTGTTCACGCATTGACTTCCGTGTGATGAGTCTGGCAGCAGTGTTTTGCACACGCTGTAGTCTATCCAGATGCTGCTGCTGGATACCATACAGAAGACTATTACAATAGTCAAGTCTTGATGTTACAAATGCATGGACTAGGCACTTGACTGATGCTGTGTCTACGTATCTTGCTATCTTGCTATGATGGCGTACTCCTCACCCAACTAATTGGATTTGATTGCTTACCCTCCTCATATTGGTCAGTTTTAATATGAGCGATCTGTGATTGCGACATGGACCTGTGTGTTGCCAGACGTTTCACTTGCAACACTTAGTGCCGTGACAATATATACTGACGGATCATTTACAATCCTCCGGCGTCATATACTGTATACCATACAGGTGTTCCAGCATGAAGGTTAGACCCGTGAAGATCCGGGGTAGAATTTGTCTTCAGCAGCCCATGCTTGCCGTAAAACGTACTATGCTTGTCGTAAGAGGCGACTAACGGGATCTGGTGGTCAGGCTCGCCGACTTGGTTGATGCATGTCATCGTATCCCAACTGCGTGGGTTGATGCTCATGATATCAATCACTGGATTGTCTGGTCCAGACTCGATTATATAGCTATATGGGGTATAGCTGAGTGCGGCGTTAACCAAACAACAGACAAACAAACAAATTATGAAGATTAGCTTCGCACGTCGCAGTAAGAATGTGACCGGTAATACAGGATTAGTGTAGCGGCCACTCACTGATGAGCATGAACTCAGCGACATCGTCTGCTTCAGGGCATCATCGTAATTACGGTCCCAGCCTCCAACCATGAGATACGTTGTCAGTATGTTGATTCAGGATAAGAAATAGTTTACGTAAGTAACAATATTTATGGGGCGGTCGGGTAGCCTAGTGGTTAAAGCGTTCGCTCTTCACGCCGAAGACCCGGGTTCGATTCCCGACATTGGCACAATGAAGCCCATTTCTGGTGTCCCCGCCGTGATACTGCTGGAATATTGCTAAAAGCGGCGTAAAACCATACTCACACACAACTCGGACCACACCCCTATCTGAAGAACAAGTAGCCTCCAGGTGAGAGGAACGCGAGGACATTCATTTTATAGAGAAAATGACATAAAACTGTCTTATTTTCATGTGTATATCCCAACAGTTATTGCTTGCGTTTGCTTTGATGACTGATTAAATAAAATGTGCATGACACAATGTTGGTTGTATTCTTAAATCGAGTATATAACTTCAGGGGTTGAAGATTGAAAAAAATGTATATCAAGACGCAATCTGAATATGTCAAGTTTAAGGTAAAAACAAAATCACAGTAATTATACCGTGACATCATGACACGAAGGTGGCTGCCCGCGTGGTATTATTGCCACAATAATGCAAGACGCTATTGATCGAAGCGCCATGAAAATCTTTCTATTGCTTCTCATTTTTAAAACACCGAATTGACGTGGACCAGTGCGGATTGGGTTTTCACAAGTCAACACTTCAAGTATAAAAGGCTTGTCTTGCAGTTGATCTGCGTCAATATGTACCGTTCTAACAGAGTGGTTACATGAACGGTATTAGTCGTTCGATCATAATTTCCGTATTAAACTGAAACGTAAAGGTGTCCATCTTCTTTTTCACACACGCACGTACTCACGCACTCACTCACGCACTCACTCACGCACTCACTCACGCACTCACTCACTCACGCACGTACTCACGCACTCACTCACGCACTCATTCACACACGTACTCACGCACTCACTCACGCACGTACTCACGCACGTACTCACGCACTCACTCACGCACTCACTCACGCACGTACT